CCACGCTCGCTGCTCGCTGCATCATCCCCTAGCAGAGCACAACAGGCAGATTTACAACAGACAAACCCAAGATCGATACAGCCCAGCCCTTCTCCTGCTGTGCAGCAGGATTTGGGACCCATCACACAAGCAGGTGTGGGCATCACTGGAGGCAGCTCTGCTCTAAACGACAGCACAGGAACAGCGGGAAAGGGTGACAGGACGACACAGGGACACTGAGCCCACTCTGTTAGTATGGCTGTCCGAAAATGGTGTTTCCATTAAAAACACCTGGCATTTTATTTAAGTTACTCCATGGAGAGACTTTTGTTTGAAGAATGAAGACATTGCTTTGCCATTTGAAATGGGAACTCATCCATTTCATTCATGCCAAAACCAACCTTGGCTTTGGTACCTTCCCTCCTTGTCTTTTGTCTGCCTCTTCTCCTGTGAAAAAAGACCAACAAAGGGAAGAAATTGAAGAAGAAAAAAAACAAAGCCATTTTACCCCAGTGAAAATCTGATGTGTTTTCTCATTGTTCAATTGTGGCTTTCATCTCACAAAAATTAGCCATGAAATCCTGCTGCCCTAATCCTTGGCTGTTCTTCAGTTCCTGCATCCCCCGGGAAGGCAACGCTCAGCCCCCAGCTTCAGCCTCTGGAGTCCAGCCCCACAGGGGCTTGAGTCAGCCTGGCACTTGCCATCAAACATCAAACCACGCCACCTTCCCTGCTGCCAGCAGTGATGTATGATCCTAGAGAAAAATAATTTGACACAAGAAATCACTGGTTCCAGCTTCCAAGCACCCTTTAAATATGTACCGAACTATTCACCCCAATTACACTCGTGTAATGGGCTCTGATTTGTTTTCCTTTGTTCCCAAAGCAGTAGGGCACTGGCCACATTAACATTCAATGAGATGTTGTTTGATATTGAATCATTTCTTCAGCAGTGTTATTCCTTACACCAGTCTGTTTGATTGCAATCCACTTTACATTTGATAAGTACTTACTGACTAGGAAAGAATGACCTAGCCTGCTTTCTCTTGCCTTTTTAATGATTTCTCTTTTAAAAGGCTTTTATTCCTTTTCTACATGAGACTGCAATAAGCAAGAGAGGCAACATTACTGAACAACTGTTTTCCTTGCTGCTCCACCAACCCATGTAACTTCACACTGGGCCCCCAAAAATACTGTAATAACGAGACACTTGCAGACATGAAGCTGCCTACGCCCTTTTCCTGGGACTTTTTGTTCTTACTGGTAAACTTCCAAATTGTTCAAGTCAATAGTCTGGAATAAATTGCTCTTTCTGAGCCCCTGATTAGACCGTACACTGGCATAACTGGAGGCAGCCCCACTGTGCCCCCGTGTGCAGTTTGATAACTTGTGCTTTGCACTCCCTCTGTATAGGGGGGTTTTTGTAAAAGAGAAATGTAGAGGACTTGGAAAATGCCAACGGCACTTGGAAAATACCAACAGTGAACAAGCCCTGTGGTTTGCCTGAAATCCAAGCTGCCACCACTTCCAAAACCGTGGGCTCTTGTTCTTACAGCCAGAACATACCAATTATTGCAGCACGATCACATATTGCGGGAGGGGGGATTGTGCTTTCCTCGGCATTGGGCTCGATCCTGATTATTAGGCCAGCAGCAAAATCTTTCCTTGACAAGAGGTTTCAGATACAACAGCACTTCCTCAGGCCCATGTTTCGGAAGCCCCTTGAATCCCACAGCATCCCCCAGTGCTGAGGGACCGACGGCCCCAGCCGGCACCATCACAGCAGCAGCTCAGCACAGTCCGCACCCGGGGCTGCTCCCACTTTTAGTTAGACCTATCTTGCATTAATTAATCCTTGGCACCAAATGCTGCAGCCACTGAAGCAAGTGGCTGGCAAGTAATTTAAGTGATCTAATTAATATGTGTCTCATCAACAACGCAAAGGGAATTTGTTTTTTTTAAAAACCTCTACAAAAAACCTGCACCAGCACATGGAGACACGTGCATGCAGACACCGATGCGGGTGTCAAGCAGGGCAGGCACCGTCTCCTCTCCTCTCTCTCGCCCAGGGGAGGAGGAGAGCTCCAGCAGGTTCCCGTGCCTCACCAAGGTGAGACTTCTCATGCAAACACCTTTTTTATTTTCTTCCAGCATCGATGTACACTGAAATACAGCGGGAGCGACTGGACGGTGGGAATATCCTGACTCACCCAGACTACATAGATGGAAACCCAGACCTCATCAAACCTAAAAAGCTCCTAAATCCTGTAAAAGCCTCGAAGAGCCACCAAGAGCTGCACAGAGAGCTGCTGATGAACCACAAAAGGTAAGAGGAGGTGGCAGCCTGCCGCTGGAGTGGTCTGAGAGGTCCAAGTGCCAGCAACAGCCTGTGAGTGGGAAGGGCAGGATAAATCCCTTCACTTGCAAATGAACACGATGTAAAACTTGCTGTAGTCCTTTTCTCTTTCCTCTAATATGATGGTTTCTTTTGAAACAAAAGCCGCGTGAACAGCCCCCTGCTCTGCCACCCTGAGCATCAGCTGGCGCTTTTTGGGTTTGCTCGCTATTGCCACCCACCTCGAGCCACAAGAGCTGGAAGATGCGAGCCATCCCTACAGCCCCCTTCTCGGTGTCCCACACGTTTTCTCCCTGGTCTTGGTTTTTCCGTCTCCACCACTGACTTGCTGAGCCCCCAGCAATGCGCAGCCTTCCTGTGAGCTTTAGGGTTAATCCAGAGGCAGGAGGAGCTGCAGGCTGGATGGGGCCATTGCAAGCTGGGACAGCATCTGCGTGAGATCTTCTATACAAGGAAAAGGCTAATCCCTGTCTCCCTAAAAATGCAACAAGGAAAGATAAGCTAGAATTCACATTCCTGATTTCCTACCTCATCACCCCAATTTAACTCCTTGGGGGTACAGATACAACATCAGGATAATGACACCGGGGACCGAGAACCTACAGCCACATCATTCCTTTGCAGCAACGGTCTGAACACCAGTGCAATAAAAGCGTATCCAGTTCAGAGCCTTTTTAGCACAGCAAGAAATCTGCTGCCTTTCTATTGACATTTTCTGAATACCATGAAATATTCTGACATGACAGCACTTTGACCATCTAATTAAAAGGAGCGCAGCCTCTCTTCAAAAGGACTACAGTCATTAGGAGAACCAGACACATATATTTTAAACTAGATTCGAGGGGGGAGGGGG